GAAAGAACCAGAATAGGTACTGCGCAACTGTTAAATAAAAACCACCTTTATTTGATAAACTATTGCCTTGTGATTGATCCCAGCATCACGTAGCTAACGGAATTGCTGCACGTGAGGTAACCATTGAGGACGCAAGATCGACAGACTGATCTGCATCAGTGTTACGAACTCTGGCCAAATTCACATGCCTTTTTTGAGCAGAAACCACCCCAATTGTTACATGGTATGAGACAGGTTGAAGCGACTGATTCGCCGTGATTTCATCACAACATTTTTGATGGTGACTGTGAGATAGAACACTACCAATGACACTCGTTACCCCCGATTTACGATTTTATTTTATTTTTATTATTGTTAATTTTTTTTAGGTAGGTAATAATGGGAATATCCGGAGTAATAAGGAACGTCATCTTAGGCGCTTCGGATAAGTTGGAAAAATATGGACCCAGGAGAATGGACCAAGACATATTCAAGGTCTTGAAGAAAGCGGCGACGAGAAGAATACGGAAAGAAGCCCAACTGAGTCCAGGGGAGCAATTGTACGACACCTATCTGGAATTAGAGGAGTTGGTAATATCTCTTTGTAAGATTATTGGTGGAATGTCGATAGATACCCCGACCGGACAAGCTTCTACACCAGGGTCATTGGAGGAAGCAATGCAAAGATAGAACAGCATCAAGTGCCGGATCGGTGGTAATACAAAGGATCAGCGATCCTCGTTCATTTATAAAAACGATGATCAAAAAAAAAGGTTAAGTTTGGAATTGCAGAGAAACCAATAATCCGACCCACGATTATAGAACACTATAGCGACATAGTGAAAGAATGAAACACTTACCTGTCGCTCGCGACGACCATTCCGCAAGAGGTTCAAAGGCAGGGAGAGTACTCCTTATGTTCCGAATTATCATGACCATGACGTAAGGAAAGAGAGGACGATTAGGAAGAAATTGCGACCAGAAGCCTGCTAACCACGCACGAAGAGGAAGACTGTCGAGAAGGCAAAGGTAGTCCTGGCGAAGCACTGAGAAGTACCAGTGTCAATATACCAAGTAACCTCGAGGAGATCTCAACATGTGCGAACGATAGGGGAGGGCCCAGGACAAAAGGAAAAGGGAGCGACGAAAGCGAGTTAGTGTCTAAACCAGCTGCACCCGAAGAAATAATTAAGCTGGGTACAATACTTACCTCTAACGAGACGTCAGCCCCAAGGAACAGTAATGTCGAGATGCCGAGGGACCGTGAAGAAAACGCAACATGTGCAAATGGGGAAGAAAGCGAGGACGAATTAGCGCTTGAACCAACCACCTGTAGCGAAACAATGGAATTAAACAATACACTTCTCTGTAGCGAGATGCTGACCCCGAAGGTTAACGATTCCAGGATACCAAGTGATCGTGGACAAACTCCAACCACCGAAAGAAGCAACGGGGAAGGTCGCGACGTTGAAGAAACCTCAAATGAGGCCCTAAAAGAAGGAACGCAGGAGAAATCAAAAAAGGATGCGGCTACGAGACTAATTGGGAAGGAAACAAAACTTACCTATAACGAACTCTGGCGGCGAACAGTGAAGACATCGGAGCGCTGAGCGATAGGGTGAAAGCGAAGGAACCTGAAAGCAGTGAAAGAGACGTCAATGCGGTAGAAGCCGGGAACGAACCAGGAAAAGATGGTAAGTTAGTGACTCTAAAACAAGTAAAAGAATGCCATTATGGGAGGAAGAGGGATGACCAACGAGAAGACGAACCACGAAGTACCGTGTACGAAACTGCGCCAGCCTCAAAGGAACATTACGATGAGATGCGGAAATCACGAGGAAACCTGGTTGTAACTGAGATTTATCTTGAGAGAGGCCAACGCAGTAAGAGGACAGAATCAATAGAGAGAGGCATGATGTCAGAAACGTCTGGAAGTAGGGAATCGAATCGAATCGATGGAGGACCTACCATAGGAATACCGGACAAGGGCGAGAATAAGTTGGACAGTCGCGATAAAATCGTATCCATCAATACAATTGAACCTATTAAAAAGAAAAAAGGGTTAGGAGTCGATAATGGAGTGCGAAAAAATCAAGATAATATGATCCAACCTACCTCGAGGGAGCCAGACGGGTACCGCAACGATGGGACCATACTCGCAAAACGTGACATCCATCCATCAGAGAGGAACGGAGTAGTGATGGTACTAACCGGTGACATCACGATTGCAAGTTGTGATAACCCAGGAGGACGTAGCAAAAAGAAAAATGGAGAATTAGTAATTAATGGCATGAGGTATTAGAACACAGACGGACTTATCATGAAGAGACCTAAAGCGAATAAGGTAGAGTTGAGGTATCGTGATGAAGAATGGATTACGATTTATGAGCGGGATGCCCACCCCCCTGAGAGTAAAACGGAGCATGAAACGGAAGGAGGGATGATGTTCGTAAGTACGTGGGAACCGTGGGACCCTGAGGACAGCAGAAATGATGATGTTACAAAAGAGGAATCTACAAATGATGACAAATTAGCAGATCAAGATCATTGATGGGAACAATACTATGGGAAAAAGGATACGACCGTCGACATGCCTAATAACTACCAAGATGATGGGGACGAAGTAGTGTTGGTACCAATCAGAGTCATCACGATTGTAAGTTGTGATGACCCAGGAGGACATGGTAAAAAGACAAACCGGAAATTAGTGAGTAGTGGCGTGAGGCATGGGAATACGGACGGACTGACCGATGGGAGACCTGATGCGAGTGGAGGTGGATTGGGATGTCACGATGATGGAGGGACGATAACCAATGACCCCCCTGATGAGGGTAAAACGGAGGATGAAACGAAGGGAGGGATGGTGATGATGAATGCGAGGAAATTATGAGCACCCAGGTACGAAAAATGGTGGCGACGGATGAACATGCTCAAGGAGTTAATGATAGTATACGTAGACGTCATTGCAAAACTAATACACTGCACAATGATGATCATTGTCATGACGGTTCTGATAACCAATAGAGCTGTCTCGAAATCTGAGTGTGCAGGAATAATGCGACGTATTGGTAGCATTAGCAGAAAGGCCGGTTGGTGCACAGAAGGATGGAGGGAAAGAGAGTGCGAAAAGAGAACACAACAAAGGTTACAACCGACGAAGATATGTACCGACCACATCATTATTAAAGCAAGCGTGAAAAAGGGATGATGGTGTGAGTGAAAAAGTAAAAATCGTGATATGTGCCAAGGGCGATGATTGCTCGTAGTACTCGCAAGCAAGGAGGGGAAGGAAAATTGTGAAAAAAAAAAATGGAATGGATGGATGAGAAAGTGAGATAAAAAGGGAAATGGGATAGTGTTAGTTTAAGTATAGTTTAGAATTTATTCAACGATAATATTAGATTAGCTTACCGTGTTTAGTTTTGACTTTTAATTTCTACTTCGATTATCAATTATTCCCCTTTATCTTTATCCGATTAATCGGAACTTTTATTTTTCTATTTTTTATTTTATTTTGAAAGAAGCGAAAAAAAAAAAATCGGAAAAATCGGAGAAAATTTTTGAGCGAAAAAGAATATTTTATTTTCATTTTATTTTATTATTTTATTAGTATAGTGGTTCTTATTTTTGAAATTATACAAATAGTTAAAAATACATATCACCTTTTTGATCTTTTATTTCTTGTGGTTTATGTGAATAAATAATATTGGATCCAGATATAGCTGTAGACAACCTTGGTTCCTAGAAATAGGAATCCATAACATATATCGGTTAAGGGCTGGTTAGCCATAGCATCCTAGGTAATATTACCTTTGGAGCAGATTGGTATTTGAGGCTATAGTATCCACATTGTATAATTTATATAAACAATTTTTGAACAACTATTGGATGGGTTTTATTATTTTACTTTTATTTTTATTTTTATTTTT